TGCCCCGTGTCCCCAGGAAGGCCCCATAACTCAAACCCAGGATTATGGGGTCTAGTTACACATTACCACTGCACCACCACGAGGCCCTAGAGGAGATCCATGAGGCCACTGCTTTTTTTTTTTTAAAAGGATTTTTGTTTGTTTTTGCTAGCTATAGGGTGTGTACACTTGCCAGAGAGAGAGAGAAAGAAATCACCCCCTGGGAGGGTTGCCACATTGCACTGCAATCCCTTCTCCATTCTCCTCCTGGGATCTTGGGCACGCATGCATGCACACCCAGCATGAGTTTCAAGCTGCTGGATCCAGGACTTAAACCGCAGTCAACTACATGGGAGTCCAGTGACATAACCATTATGCCATCTGCTGGTCCCAGGTTACTGCTTTTTAAAACATGGTCTGAGAACTACTTAGATCAAAGTGCTTAAAATCTAGTTTATAAAAGGCAATTACTAGACTCCCTCCACCCCCAATCCCAACTCCCCAGCTTGTGGAACATGAATATCCAGGAGTCAGGTATGGGTATCAGTAGCGAGTTTGTTAATTTTATTTTTTAAGTTGTGGTAAAATAAATGTAAGAAAAAGTTGGCCACTTTTAATCCTTTTTTCTTTCTCTTTTAATTGCAAAGGGTATGTGTGCTTGCCTGAGGGCTGGGGGGGGGGGCGCAGAGAGAGGAGGAAAGCATTCCCCTAAGTGGGGTGCAGCCACACTGCAATCCCTTCTCCTTTGGGGATTTTGGGCATGCGCACATAAGCTCCCAATGTGTTTTCTAAGCCGTCAGGGCTGAACTTTAAACTGTGGTTGGCCATGTGGAATCCATCTCCCTTAACCGCTAGGCCATGGGGCCAGCCGGAATCATTGACCACCATCTATGTTCAGAAATTTTTCATTATCCCAAACTGAAACTCTGAGCCTACTAAACAGAAACTCTCATCTCTCTCCCTGTCCACCTCTGGGAACCTCTACTCTACTTTCTATCTTCATGAAATTTTCTGTTCTAGATACTTGCTGTAAGTAGGGACTCATACAATATCTGTTCTTTTATGACTGAATTATTTCACTTAACATAATAGTCCTCAAAATTCACCCATGTTGCAGCATGTGTCAGAATTTTATTTTTTAAAGGTAAATAAATTCCACTGTGTAAGTATATACACCAAATTATTTACTCATTCACTGATAGACATTTGGGTTGTTTTTAACCTTATGCTATTATTATGATAAATACTGCTAGGAACATGGTACATAAATATCTTCTGAATTTTTGCTATCATTTTTAGGTATATACCCAGCAGTGGAATTGCTGGGTCGTGTGGTAATTCTATGTTTAATTTTTTGAGTCAGTTATATTTTTAGGCACCCCAGGTGGTTCTAAGGCATGCCGTTGCAACCAGGGAACTAGGTGATCCGATTTTCTCCAACTGGAATCACCTGAGAGATTTAATGCCTCTGCTACCCAAACCATAGTCCAGACCAACTAAATCAGCCTTTTTCAGATGGGACCCAGGCACCTGCACATTTTAAAAGTCCCCTGGTGATTCCAGTATGTGGCCTAGCTTAAGAACCATTGGTTTATACCAGTGATTCTCACATTTGAGTGCGTACAAAATTCACTTTCTAGGAATACAGATTCCCGAGAGAGCCCCACCCGAGAGAGTCTCATTTAATGGATCTGTGGGAAGCCTGGCCTTCGTCAGTCTCAAGTCTCCCCAGGTGATTCCAGCAGGCAGCCAGGCTGAGAACTACTAATCCTGTTAAGACTCTCAGTGAAGCACAAGGTGACATGACTCACCCAAGTCCCTGAGCCCTGTAGAGCCTGCATCTGCTCTGGTCCCCAGGGCTGATTCCCAAGCCAGTCCCACCAGCTCTCCAAACTCTGCCACACAGGTGCAGGGGTTAGAGTCATGTAAAGAACCTGCATCTTTTCTACTCTTTATTTAAACCATTAGCCCTGAATGAGGGCATAGTCCCTTATGCTTGTTTTGAAATGTGAATTTGTTCCTAACATGATCGATATATTAGAGGACAATAGCAACATCCTAGGAAACATTACTGATACATTAAGGGACAATAGGAACATGTTAGGAATGTGAATATCACAGTCGCCTTTGTGCAGTTTCTCACAAAGGCTGAAAGCTGCACCGAGCTGAGCCAAGACACATGGGAACACAAACACAACCTCGATATCCGGCGACGACCTCAGCTCTGCACATCTGGTGTTACAGCTGTCCCTGTTGTATCAGTCTTTCCACCAGCTCACAGTCACTCAACCCTTCTGATGCCCTCTTCTATAAGCAAACTTGAAAATGTTCTTCAAAGTGCTATATGTATCATGGCATTTATGTATTTCTTAACCATTTAACTTAGCAAAAAACTGTGTGGCTGTTTGATTAGGCTCCTGTCCTTTCTGTGCAGCCGATGAAGTATTGCACCCTGACCCTATTTTCCCTCTAGCCCTGTGGTTTTTATTGCGATTTTGCATAGTGCCATGACTTTTAAGAAGGAAAGTGTCACCTGATAGAACCAACCATGGAAGTAACTGTACATATTTCTCTTACCAATGGTTGAGGAGCACACTGCCCGCTGCAGAATGTGGGTCCCCATCTCGTTTTTCCCTCTACCTGTGGCCACGGAGAACGTGACTCCTGACAACCACTAGATGGCACACTCCTCTGACGGGGTGGAAAGCTGTTCCCAGCAGGTTGGCAGCAGCCTTTTCCTGGGAGAAGCAGGTGGCCCACAGCTCACAGGCTGCTGCTTCGGGGCCCTAGTCCACACACTCTAACCTAGCTTGCTCCCTTCTGGCCTCAGCTCATTTAGCGTTGAGGGTTTTGGTCCCTTGGTCTCTGCTGGATTCCCCTTAGGTGCATACTGGCTAGTGTACACTGTGTTTTCAAGCCCATTCCTGGACTCTCGTCTCTCCAAAGTTTGACCAGGTCTGAAACAACGTTTCTGCCTTGTTCTCACCGTTAGATTTGTCCTGGGTCAGCCTTCGTTCAGTATTTGCTTCAACCCAATCTAGGACGCTCTGCGTGAGTGGACCTTCTTCCCAGCTTGTCTGCACCAGCTGCTCTTCAGACACCTGGGCTCACGGCTCACCAGTTTACTTAGTCGCCCGGCTCCTCTGCTCACTTGTCCTGCCCTGTGACCCATAGGGATTGGTCAGAGATAAAAGTGGAGTTATTTCATGCCTTTTGGTACTTCGTAAGAAACACGGCTGTGTGGTATCTTTGTAATACAGCAAATAATTTTCTTTAAAAATATCTGTTCAGCTAGCCTCCTCTTACTCTTTCTATTATGGACTTGAAAATATCTTGGGGGGAGCCGATGACGTTGAAATGGGTAGGCTTCAGAAGGTCAGTGAACGCCTGAAACTGGATGCAAACTCTGGCTTGTGATGAAAGAGTGCATTTTTGGAGGGCAAGGAATCAATGCACAGTAATAAAACACAATGCTGTGAGGCCACCCCACATGAAAAGGGTCCTCGTTTGTCTGGAAACCTCCCTGGCTCCTCTGGGCAGGTGCCTGCTTGTGGTTCTGCATTGTCTAGAGTACATCACGGTGTTGAGACCCTTCTGGGGATGCTGTCTCTGTGTGTGTGTTGCTTGTAAAATAAATAAACCTTAAGGTCTAGTGGTGGCACGCATGGCTTGAGGCCCAGGCCCAGCAGCTTGAAAAATATGCCAGGCATGTGTGTGAGTGCTCATAGTCCCAAAAGAAGAAATGAAGATGGGATTGTGGTATAACATGCCCCATGGAGCGAGGAGAGGGGATGAAATCTCTGTCTCTTTTTCTAGCAAGCACATACACCCTTTGGCAAACTTTTAAGAATATTAAGATTTGGGACCAGCAGTTAGCATAATGGCTATGTCACTGAACTCCCACGTAGTCAACTGCGGTTCGAGTCCTGGACCCGGTGGCGTAAACTCATGCCAGGCGCATGTGCGTGCGTGCCCAAGATCCCGAGAGGAGAATGGAGGAGAAGGGATTGCGGCGTGGCCATCCCCCCTGGGGGGTGATTTCTCGCTTTCTGTCTCTCTGTCTCTGTCTGTCTGGCGAGCGCACACGCCCTATAGCAAAAACCTCTCCAAAAAAAAAAAAAAAAAGATTTGGGGGGGAAAATTAGTATATTGGAACACAGTTGTTTGGGGCTTTCACTCATTACTACCACAAATTGTGAGATCAAGCCACCTAGTTTGGTACAGGTGTTTGGAGTCTGCATTGAGTCATTCATAGAAAGAAGAATTGAAAGTAAAAAGTTTAACTCTATTCTGAGCTGGTATTCTCACTCTCATGTCTCTGCTGGGATTTCTCTGTCTGGTTACATAAGGCAAGAACTCATTCTGATGTTTGGAGAAAGCAGTAGCTGAGAAACTGTCAGCAACTTGGGGGCCAAGTGCAAATACTGATGGTTCAGTATTAGAACATGTTGATCTTACAGTCATTTAAAATACTCATTTGTGAAATCAAACTTTCTAGTTTTCTTCTTCTGGAGTAGAGGTCAGCAAATTTGGTCTGTGTTTAGACTGCAAGCCCAAAATGTTTATCGAATGGCCATTGAAAGAAAATGCTTCCAATCTCTGTTCTAGAACAGGAAATATGATAGTTGTTCAATATAAATGATGTGTTCCCACCGCGACATTGAGATGGGTAGACCAGCAGGTCAGTGAACCCCTGAAACTGTGTGTAGACTTTGGCTTGTGATGCAAGTGTGCATTTTTAGACAAAGAACCAATGCTATCATCAGATTCTCAAAAGGGTCCATGACCTCAAAATGTTTAAGAACCTCAAGATGCGTAAGAACTACTTCGATATGTTTGTTATCTGTTGTGGGCAGTGCGACTCAGTAACTCACTGTGGTGTCCTCAGGTGTGAGCAGCGAGGCTGAGGGTCTGCCTTACAGGTCACTTTAGAATCCATTTCACACTGTAAGATGTGGAAAAAGTTACATGAAACTCAATATGAATAAGCTCTTTCTGTGACCACTTATTTTTCTCCTTAGGTTGCAAGACCTGAATTCCCCCTATTCTTGTTTCCTCTGAAGCACATCGTCAAAATCTTCACCCTGGGTTCCACTGAAGAAGGGCTGTTGCCTCCCAGGACTGTATCAGCTTCTAGAATCACAGCCCCGTGATTGCGTGCCAGGAAACTCACAGCTAGATTTAGGACCAGTTGCAGTAACTGCCTTTCATGTCATTCCTTGAACATCTGTCTCTCTCCTCTTAGATGTTACGCGGCCCTTCTTTATCAGTCATGATTTATATTTAATAATAGCAAATGCTTTGGAGAAATATATAGGATGTAAACGGTAAATCTGTCACTGAAGACGGCAGAGACAGAGCACAGCACTCCCCATGGCACTCGAGAAATCCAGTCCCAAATCTTCAAGGTGAAAGAAGTGTTTGCCCTTGGGGGGTTCTTCTGAACTGTAACATCCTTATCCTCCCTGACTGGTTTATACTTTATTTCAATAGTTCTCCAATTTATTGAGATCACTTTGAACTTGGACCCTATTTTCCAAAATATCACCTCTCCACCGGTGTGTGTCATTTATAAATGCAAGGTCATTAAAGCTGAGGCCCATTCAAAGCCATGAGAAACTCACTGAGAAAGAAGGTGGCTGCTTTGTTGGCATTACCCAATCTAACCACCCATGAAAGAAACAATCACAGATTATGCAGGAGGAGAGAATAAACAGAATTCAAACAATTCTTGGTCATCAGGGGGCCTGTAATGAACATGGGAAGAAAGAACTGGAAGCTTCACATTTCTGAGCTGCAGGGCTGCCAGGCCCCCTTTTTTTGTAACAGATCATTGAAGTGATCCCCTTATTTTCTTGAAATGAAACTCAGAATATGATCTATCTATACACATATTTTTAAAGGAATGGATATGATGCCCTAACTTGGATATATATAGATAAAAAAGGCAATGAAAAGGAAAGTAATTTACAATAAATTCATGTGTTTTCAATATATGAATGTTGTGTAAAACAGCACTGGACACTTGCACTTATTCAAGAGTAAGTTTGAACTCAGCCCCCTAGCCTGTGGTTAAGAGAGTCAAATCCTACATGGCTGATCATAGTTCGTATCCCAGCCCTGGTCCTTGAGAAACACACTGAATGCTTGCACATGCAAAACATCCTGACAGGATGGAGAAGGGATCTCAGCGTGACTACCTTTACCTGCAAAGCAAGTGTTCAACCCCGATGGACCATGAACTTGCCCACTGGACTTAAACAAGTAGGCCAGTTATTATTATTTATGTGTGATAAACTGTGTCACTCATGATCACCCAAATTCCAGGCTTGTAGTAGGTGCTTAATAGACTGGCTCTGTGAGCAGATGACATAAATTCCTAAATGATGAGAGTAGCGTGTACAGAGTAAATTTAGGTAAATGAAGAAGGACTAGTAGCCTAGATAGGTTGGGGTGGGAGGAAATCAGTGGATTATTTTCCATTTACCAGCTGAGCTTTCTATGGGCTTGTAAAGGGGTTTCTGGCTGACATGAAGAAAAAGTATCACTTCCTATTACTTTCTCCTGCTAACTTCCTTCAGCACATGATGAATGAACAAAGTAATGAACAAACAAATGCAGAATTGTAAATATCAAGTGAATTCTTAAGGTCCTAGAATAGTGCTTAGTGTGTAGAACATGCACTATAAGTCTTTAATAGAGAGTGAGAACAACTTTGTCTATAGTACCTGCCAACAGCCACATTCATGGAGTCAAATGAACAAAGAGGTTTAAGAGAACAGGAAGTCGTAGAGGAAACCCTCACCCTGTGCAATGCCTCAAGCTTAGATGCCTGTATTTTCATTCTCCTCCATAGGATCATGGGGAATCACCTTGACCTTCTCTTAGGAATGTTGCTCATGGCCAGCCCTGTGTTTGGGATTCCTTCCTGCTCCTCTGATGGTCAGATTGCCTTGTATCGTTTCTGCAACCTCACAGAGATTCCCCAGGTCCTCAACAGCACGGAGAGGCTCCTACTAAGCTTCAACTATATCAGGACAGTCACCACCACGTCTTTCCCCTTCCTGGAGCAGCTCTGGTTGCTAGAGCTTGGGACACAGTTTACTCCCTTGACTATTAACAAAGAGGCCTTCAGACACCTGCCTAATCTGAGAATCCTGGACCTGGGCAAAAGTCAGATAGACTTTTTGCACCCAGATGCTTTTCAAGGACTATCCCATCTGTTTGAACTTAGACTGTTTTTTTGTGGTCTCTCCGATGCAGTATTAAAAGATGGTTATTTCCGAAATCTAAATTCTTTAACTCGCTTGGACCTGTCCAAGAATAAGATTCGAAGCCTTCACCTTCATCCTTCATTTCAGGAATTGAATTCCTTACAGTCCATAGATTTTTCCCTCAACCAAATAGTCACTGTATGTGAGAGTGAGCTCAAGCCCCTCCAAGGGAAAATGCTCTCTTCCTTGAATCTTAGAGCCAATAATCTGTACAGCAGAGTCTTGGTGGACTGGGCAAAATGTATGAACCCATTCAGAAAGATGGTGCTCAATACCCTGGATGTTTCTGGTAATGGCTGGTCAGTGGACATCACAAGAAACTTCAGCAATGCTGTCAATGGGAGCCAGATTTCCAATTTGATCCTTGCCCACCACACTATGGGTGCTGGGTTTGGCTTCCGTAACTTGAAAGATCCTGACCAGAACACATTTGCTGGCCTGGCCAGAAGCTTGGTGATACACCTGGATCTTTCACATGGATTTATCTTCTCCTTGAACTCTCAATCCTTTAAAACACTCAAGGACTTGGAGGTTCTGAATCTTGCCTACAACAAGATAAACAAGATTGCAGATGGAGCATTTTATGGGCTCAATAATCTTCAAGTTCTCAATCTGTCATTTAACCTTCTGGGGGAACTTTACAATTCCAATTTTTATGGACTACCTAACATAGTCTATATTGACCTTCAGAGTAACCACATTGGGATCATTCAAGACCAAACATTCAGATTCCTGGAAAAATTAAATACCTTGGATCTCCAGGACAATGCTCTTAAAACCATTTCCTTTATTCCAAGCATACCTGATATCTTCTTGGGCGGCAATAAACTGGTGACTTTGCCACATATCAGTCTTACAGCCAACTTCATCCAGTTATCAGAGAACAGGCTAGAAAAACTGGATGATGTCTATTTCCTTCTCCAGGTACCTCAACTTCGGATTCTCATTTTAAAACAAAATCGCCTTTCCTTTTGTAACCAAAATCATCCTCCTTATCCCCCTTCAGAAAATCTCCACTTAGAGAAACTTTTTCTTGGAGAAAATATGTTGCAACTTGCCTGGGAGACCGGGTTCTGCTGGGATATCTTTAAGGGGCTTTCTCGTCTCCAAATTCTATATTTAAATGACAACTACCTGAATTTCCTCCCACCAGGAGTATTTCAAGATCTGACTGCATTACGGGGACTCAGCCTCAGCTCCAACAGACTGGTGTTTCTTTCCCCTGATGATTTACCTGCTAATTTAGAGATCCTGGATATCTCCAGAAACCAGCTCCTATCTCCTGATCCTAATTTATTTGTGTCACTGAGTGCCTTGGACATAACTCATAACAAGTTCATTTGTGAATGTGAACTTAGTGCTTTTATTAGTTGGCTCAATCAGACTAACGTCACTATATTTGGGTCTCCTGCAGACATATACTGCACATACCCTGATTCGTTCTTTGGGGTTTCCCTCTACTCTATTTCCACTGAAGGCTGTGATGAAGAGGAAGTCTTTAAATCCATGAAGTTTTCCCTTTTCATCTTCTTCACTGTCACATTGACTCTGTTCCTCATGATCATCCTCATAGTTACAAAGCTCCGGGGTGTTTGTTTCACCTGTTATAAGACAGTCCAAGGACTCATGTTCAAGAACCATCCTCCGGGAACAGAATCTGGTAGGTACAGATACGATGCCTATTTGTGTTTCAGTAGCAAAGACTTTGAATGGGTGCAGAATGCTTTGCTCAAACACCTGGATGCCCAGTACAGTGACCAAAACAGATTTAACCTGTGCTTTGAAGAAAGAGACTTTGTCCCAGGAGAAAATCACGTCACCAACATCCAGGATGCTGTTTGGAGCAGCAGAAAAATCATTTGTCTTGTGAGCAGACACTTCCTTAGAGATGGGTGGTGCCTTGAAGCCTTTGATTATGCCCAGAGCAGATGTTTATCTGATCTCAATAACGTCCTAATCATGGTGGTGGTTGGGTCTCTGTCCCAGTACCAGTTGATGAAACATCAGTCCCTCCGAGGATTTGTACAGAAACAGCAGTATTTGAGGTGGCCCGAGGATGTCCAAGATGTTGGCTGGTTTCTCAATAAGCTCTCTCGACACTTAGTAAAAAAAGAAAGAGGGAAGAAGAAAGACAGTGACATTCGGTTGCAAACTGTATCAACTATCTCCTAGTCAAAGGATTTTCCGGGACCAGCAGTTAGCATAATGGCTATGTTGCTGGACTCCCATGTAGTCGACCGTGGTTCGTGTCCCAGACCCGGTGGCTTAAAACTCACGCCGGGCGCGTGTGGGTGCGTGTCCAAGATCCCGAGAGGAGAATGGAGGAGAAGGGATTGCGGCATGACCATCCCCTCTGGGGGATGATTTCTCGCTTTCTGTCTCTCTCTGTCTGGCGAGTGCACACGCCCTATAGCAAAAACCTCTCAAAAAAAAAAAAAAAAGGAGTTTCCAACTTAATTCAAACCACAAGTGTAACTCTTTGTGTAAGCACTAAGTGACCATGCTGGGTTCTTTTCAGAGGTTTTTATCCTACAGAGAAAATAACATAAATCTCTTGATTTTCATATCAACGCAAATGTTTTGTCTGAATGACCTACAAATGAAAAATAATAGATCTAGAAAATTTTAAATGCCCCTAGAAGTTTCTACTCCCCATTGATTTCCTTTCAGACCCAATAACACTATTTTCTCCTACTGGATCAATGACATCTTCCACTCATGGGAGGGAGGGATGCCTTGGGAGAAGTTACAGATGACTGGCATACTTCCTCTAGTGTTCAGTTCAAAAACAGGCCGGGGCTGGTCTCATAATGCAGCAGCTAGGCACTGTGAAGAAGCCAGATCCCGCATGGCTGACCAGGGTTCAAGTGCTGGCCCCATCAACTTGAAAAATACACCAGGATCCTGATGGAATGGAGAACTGGAGAAAAAAGGATTGCACTGTGACCAGACCCCATGGGGAAGTGTTGCTTGTTTGTCTCTCTCTCTCTTTCTAACGTGCATGTACCCTCTGGCATTTAAAAAAGGGGGAAAGGGGCTAGTTAGTGATTTTAGAGTTCTCTGTGTTCCATGAAATGACAGGTAGAAAACAAAGAAAAAAAAACACGTTTCCTCCTTTCACTGTAGGAACGGTGCCACTGTTGGGTCCAGGTGATACTCCATCTTAGGGATGAGAACCCCAGAAGCTGGGATGAGAATAAGTATCTCATGTGGCCATACCGCACATCTTGTCCTTACCTTCGGCTCCTCCCTGTCTAATGCTTAGGAGCCATGAACATTCTTTTGCAAGCTTCCTTTAATTCATTCAGCCCAGCGGTCAAGACCCTCTGTGACTTAGCACCCATCTACCTTCTCGGCTTTCTTTTCTTCCACACATCATTTTTCAACCACTCAGACAGCTGCAGGGAGAGCATGGACTTTGCAAACAAATCCTGGTCTGAGTTCCGATTCTGCTGCTTATTAGCTGTACGATCTTGAACACTTTATGCCACCAGTCTCCAGCCTTCCTGGCACCAAGGACTGGCCTCATGGAAGGCAATCCCTTTATGGAGGGAAGGAGGTGTTGGTCCCAGGTTGATCTAAGCATACCACATCCACTGCTACCACACTGCAATATACAGTGAAACAATCACACAACCAGAGGGCTTGTGTTCCCATGAAAATCCAATACTGCCACCGTTGCAACAGGCGCGAAACCCATGTGGCAATACAAACAGTGGAGAGCAGACTGGCACTAGTCCATAGCCTGGGGAGGGGGAGGTGGGAATCATTGCGTTACACCCTTGCTGGGCCTCAGTCTTCTCATCTGTAGGCAACATAGCATCTATCCCATAGAGTTGCTATGAAGATTAATTAGCCAAGAATTTAAGGGCTTCCCAGATTTTCCTTAGCTACCTACCCTAATGGCCACAAGGGAGTACACATACTGAGGGACCTTCCAGAGGTCGTCACTGTTTCTTTGTTGTATTTTTTAATCTCGAAATTGATGTGTATTTTGCATTGTATTCCTTTTGTTCATGTTTATTAATATAAAATTTTTTTCTACAGCAGCATGAAGAAAATATAAACCAAGAAAAATGTGTCAGAATCACCCCATCACTTCACCTGTGGTACTACGTGAGAGTTTCCCACCTGTATATTTTGTCCACGCTCTTTCCTCCCCCTGGAATTTCTTCTCTCGTCCCACCTTCCATTTGTCTAATGAATTTTGTACCCTACTATGATGCCCATTCCTGTGACCCCCAAAGAGTTCTGTCACCGATATGTGATGTTGTGTTGCACTGTGCGTTTATACATGTGTAAGGTCTACCTAGACCATGAGACCCTTATGGCAGGATCTTGTCTTGTTCACTGTGTGTCCCAGGTCCAAAATGGTACCTGGCCATAGCATGTGCCTGATAAATGCCTGGTGCATGAAAGAAGAACATTGCGAAGGCCAGCCTCCCCAGTATCAATGCCAGCTATCAGATTTTCCTGGGAGTGGCAGGTGAGGGCGGGGCTGAGTGAGAATAGAATATCCACAGAGGTGCTCAGTGGTGAGCTGAAGAGGCAGGACACCCCAGACTCTAAGAAACCCACTGAAATTCATTCCAAACTGTGGAGCATGGCATGGAACTCCTGGGTTATGGGACAGTTGCAATTTGAACTAGCAGCCATGAATGGACCTAGGATGAGGAAGGAAAGCAATGCACATGGATCTGCAGTGAATGGATCCTCTGGTATCTTGTACTCAGAAATGCAGCAAAACAAAGCACTGCTACTGATAACAATCATAACCACAAATCAAGCAGGCCATTTTGTCTCAGTTCATTCTTTCCTATCACCTCTGCCCATCGACCATGTTTTCCCCAAGTTGTAGAAAGGAAGGCAGCCATGATACTAGGAAGTCTCCCATGAAGAATGTCTGGACAGGACTCTGAGGTCCTCTGTTCTGGGAGTCAGGGGTGGGCTAGGAGGGTAGTGCTATATCAAGGTTTTCTCTGGTTTGAGTGACCATCCCCAGGACTGCTTTCCAAACCAAATCTGGAACATGTAAAATGACAAGTGCAGGCTAGTTGGTGGTATGGTAGTTAAAGTCACTGGATCCCACATGTCTAACTGTGTAGTTCAATCCTGGACCCTGTGGCTTGAGGAACACTTTGAGCTCACATGTGTCCATGCCTGAAATACCAAGAGGAGAATGGAGAAGAAAGGACTACAGAGTGGCCTTCCTCTCTGGGGCCGGGGGGAGGGAATGAAGGTTGCACGCTCTCTGTCTCTGTCTCTCTCTCTCTCTGTTTCTCTCTCTCTCTCACACACACACACACACACACACACAAGCACACACACACCCCACAGCAAAACTTAAAAAAAAAAATAAAAAGAAAAGAAAGAAAAAGACCAATGTATAGGAACAATGAATTGGAGCTCAGGTAACTCTTGACATATGAAAGCCATCTAACACGCATCCTTTTCTAATCCTCTTACTGAAAACACAAATAACATGTAATGTTCCTAATGAAATACATTTTTGTATAGAATTTATGGAGGATCTGTTTACATCTACATTCCAGCTATTGCTAAATTCAATGTGCCACTCCAAAACTTCTCTTTTCTGGCAAAACCTATCTACAATTCCTTTCATTTGTCTTCTCTCCCATCACCAGGCCCAGCAGTTGGAATTCTTTTTGAGGCCATTTTCCCAAGTCTATATCACTTCAGAAGCATTGTGTACATATGACAAAAGAAGGACCAAGGGAACCACATTGAGAAGTGGATAAATGAGTAGTCAGCTGAGAGTGCTACGGCACTCCACCTCAATCCAAAGTCAGGCCTCAGTCCTTTGGGGTCACTCTGGAATATCAGAAACTACTACTGTTCCATCTAAGAATGGCTAGAAATGTCTATATTTGAAATTGCAACTATCATGGAAAAATCTAGAACACTGGTGCTGCTGAAAACATCAAAGACAATTGTGCACTCATCACCCTAAATACAATTGGCTTAAAAAACTCCTTGTCAACACATGTATCTACAGAGAACTGTATTTTAGATAGTTGATATGATGTAACATCAATGTGGTTTTAAAGTTCTAAATCATGAAATAACTAGATCAGGAGGATAAGAGGCAGGAGTAACAATGTCAGATAGCTCAATGCGCATCTACCACAATATAAAATAAGTTCAGATATCTCAAATACTAAGTCCAGAAATAGCATTCTGAGTATTATTTAGAAATATGAAAATGCCAGAAGAAGAAATTAGACAAATTGATGGTATCTGTTTGAGGGAATACTGCCCAATTCTTCCATTCGGAACATTACAAAACCTGGAGACATTATCTTTTAGAATCTACTTTAAAGCATTGGAAAGGTACAAGGCGGTAAATAGGGCTGAGATCCAAGAGAAGAAATCAAGAGAGTTGACCACATTGAAATTTAGATCTAGTCATCAAAAAAGTCCAGCCATGGAAAAAGAATATATCTGTAATACATGTACCTGAAAAGGATTCATAGCCAAAATATGAAAGAACGTCTACAAGTAAATTTAAAAAAAAACATCAGAAAAGAAAAATGGATAAGAGACATAAGAATTTCCCTAAGGATATCCCATGTCGAACAAGCAAATGAAGATATATTTGACCTTCTTAAGTCATCAAAGAAATGCAAATTGAGGGGACCAGCCGGCAGCATGGTGGTTAACGTGCTGAACACTCCTACATGGCTGACCACAGTTCAAGTCCCAGATCTGGTGGCTTGTTTTCTCTTCTCTCTCTCTTTTTCTCTGTGTGTGTGTGTGTGTGTGTGTGTGTGTGTCTGTGTCTGTGTGTGTGTGTCTGTGTGTCTGGTCAAAATAAATGAATATATAAAAAATTAAATAAAATTTTTAAAAAAGATATGCAAATTGAAACTATGTTGTAGTACCACTTACCACCACCAGAATGGCTACAATTAAGAAGACTGACAGTACCAAGTATTGACAAGAATATGAAGCAATTGAAAGTCTCATGTTATTGGTAAGAATGTAAACTGATATTTAAAAAAATATATATTTGCCATTATCTACTAAAGTTGAAGCTACACATGCCCCATGACACTGCAGTTCCAAGCCTAGTTACACGCACCCAAAATCCATGCACTATGCACCAAAAGACACATACAAAAATGTTTGTGGTAACCATCACTAGACACAACCCACATGCCTGTCAATATGAAATGGATCAAGAAATTGTGATAATTGAAAACTCTACAGAAAGGACAATTAATCAATTATTGCTACATGCAATAACATGAGTGAACTCACAAAAATGTTAACTCAAAGCAATTAGGCATAACGATTGCATATTAGTTCCATTCTTAGAAATTTCAGAAAGGTAAACTTCACGGTGAAATGAGGGTAATGGTCATTTTGGGGGGTGGAGGACGGGGAGCAGTGGGTGCTCTGAGCTGCTGTTTCTGTTCTATTGTTTGACCTATGCAGTGACGATGACGATCTGTGATGATGCCTTTTGTCTGTACCAATTAATTTGTTCACTGTTCTGTAAGGGATTATTCTTTCATTTGTTTTTGTTTTTGTTTAGTTGAGTTTTGTTTTGTTTGGAGAGATTTTTGCTATAGGGTTTGTGCGCTCACCAGAAAGATATAGACAGACAGAAAGCGAGAAATCTCATCCCCCCCGGGGGTATGGCCACGTCGCAATCCCTTCTCCCCCATTCTCCTCTGGGCCTGGGCACGCACGCATACCCGCTTGGCATGAGTTTAAGCCACCGGGTCCGGGACTCAAACCATGGTTGACTACATGGGAGTTCAGCGACATAGCCATTATGCTAACTGCTGGTCCCTATCCTTTCATTTAAAAAGATAAAGAAGCAGGTAGATTTTTTTTGTTAGAGGATAGAAGACATGTAGTCGATCGAATCATGTAAAGTAATGGGACATTCTTCCCCAAGTGTCTTATTTTTGTTAGGATAGCCACTGATCATCCTTAATGCTCACACCAAAGGAAAACACAAGTGATTATGCTAGGGACACCTGGGGAGATGAGGGGTGGGGAGGGGCAGGAACTGCCAGCTTTTATTATGAGTTAGTATTGTTTAATGTTTAAATCTGTGTATGCATTTTATTAGTAATGCTGAAAATACACAAACATAAGAAAATACATAAGAGGTCTTCAAAAATTTCACTGAAAATGCATATTATGAGAAAACTATGTAAGAATGTCAACATTTCTTTAAGAATTATTTTATTTAACTTTATTTCTGTATTTATTTTCATTTGACCAGAGAGGGACAGAGTTAGTGAGAGAGAGAGTGGGAGAGAGAGGGAAAGTGAGAAAGCAAGCTGCCAGGTCCAGGACTTGAACCACAGTTGACTATGGGAGTCTAGTGTGAATCCAGTGTGCCCTTAACCACCATGCCACCTGCCGGTCCCAAGAATGTCAACATTTCTTTATGCCAGTGTAAATTTGTGCTCAAATCCCATATTTCCATGGATTCTTTTTTCAAATCATATATGTAGATAAAAATGAGACCATCCCTTCTGTCCTTTGCAGATGATACAAAACACAGAAATTAACCAGAACTGTAAAATTAAACCACCATGGGCCAACAGATGGCAGAGCAGTTACGTCTCTAATCTTCCACATGGCCGAAGGACGTTTGAGTCTCAGGCCCAATAGCTTGAAACTCACACCAGGGATCAGCAGTTAACGTAATGGCTATGTCGCTGGACTCCCATGTAGTTGGCCCCGGTTAGCGTTGGACCCGGCGGCTTAAACTCACACTGGGCGTGTGTGTGTGCGTGCCCAAGATCCCAAGAGGAGAATGGAGGAGAAGGGATTGCAGCATGGCCATCCCTCCTGGGGGGTGATTTCTCACTTTCTCTCTCTCTCTCTCTCTCTCTGTCTGGTGAGCGGATGCGCCCTATAGCAAAAACCTCTCAAAAAAAAAAAAAAGAAAGAAAGAAAGAAAAGAAAAGAAACTCACACCATGCATGAGTGCATGCGTGCCCAAGATCCTAGGAGAAGAGTGCAGGAGAAGGGATTGTGATATGACCATCCCCCCTGTGAGGGTGATTTCTCTCTTTTCCTCTCTGTCTCTCTGTCTCTCTCGCAAATGCACATGCCCTAAGGCAAAAACCTCTTAAAACAAAAACTTCACCACCACTACTGACAAAAATTATTTCAACAGGTGAACATACATGTAAATGATACAGATATATGGATACATAGATATACACTGTTTGCTTAATTTTATTTTTCTTTATAGGAATTTTTAATGTTTTACTTAACAATTAAATATCTTATTTCTCAATGGCCACAATAACTTCCATTTAGTTAGACCTCTTAAGAAATTAAACATTTTTATTTTACAGAAAATTCCATGGAAAAAATTTGCTAAGTCTCCCATGGTCTTCTCAGGCACCACCATCCAGGCGAAGTCTGACAAGGTGGCTTTATTCCTGACACACAAGGACCTAGTCCAGAAGGGTGGAAATCATGCTTCTTTGCCCAGCTCAAGCCAGTCACCTCCTCGGGCCCCTGTTTTTCTGTCTCTTCTCCAGGAAGGTTGCCTCACTGAGATGTGATAAAATTCAATGACATCATGTCTCATCGGGCCCAGCCACACTTCAGGAAGCAGGTGCTTTGGCAGATGGAGGCTGGGACATTTTTCTGCAGCATTGACCTGGGTTTGTAGCTCAAGTAGCCCTTAGGGTCTAACACTTGAGGCCACCTTCATGGTTTTTCCAGAGACCTTGGCCATTAATCCACTTGCAGCACTTTCCTCAGCCACAGCTGTCTTCTAGGCCTGAAGATTGTGCCAAGTCTGGAAGGGTTTTCAAATAAGTCACCAGTGATTTCTGTGAGCTGGTCCATGTGAAAACAGGAGAACCCTTTCAGAGAGGGAACTAGGAATCCCCAACGTGCAGCCAGCGGACAATGTACTTGGCCAGTGAACCTTCTTGTTCAATGAATTTCCTACTTGGTTATAAAAATAAGAGTGAAATAATGCCACCATCTGTAAGATGTCTTCCAAGGAAGACATTCCCGCTTAGATGTCAAGCAAAGGAGGAAAAGCTGGTGTGGATGCTTCCAGGCTGGAGGAGGCACAGCCTCTAGCCTTGCTCAGGCTGCAGCCCCAACATAAGCCTTAGTACAGAAGTTCCCCAGGTGCAGTCCCTTCCAGGTACAGCCCCTTCCAGGTACAACCAGAACACGACATTCTCAGCTTGGAGTCAGAAGACCCAAGATGTAGTACTAGATGTGTGTTGTTTAACCCCTTGGAGTTTCAAGTTTTGATTTGTTGTTGTTTTATCCCAGGATTAAAGGATGTCAAAACAATTAATGTATTTCCAAGCACAAAATAATTACACAGTAACACCTACTGGTAAGGAGAAGCTATGGCATGTAAAGTTTCCCTGCTTCTGCCTCCAGTTCCCCTGGTCTGGTCACTGAGTTCCTTGTCCTGGGGGTGAATCTGACCTCATTGGACATCTCGGTGATACCTCTAAAAATCTGAGAAGGAAATTACTATGTTGTTTTAACACAATAAAATGACAGACCTTAAGTGTACACTCTAATGTCTACACCCATGTGGCACTACCTCAATCAAGATACAGAACATTTTCATCACTCCACAAAGTTCTCCCTTTTCCTTTTCTGCTAATTTAGACAACCACTGTTGTTTTTATCAATAGAAACTAATTTTGCCTTTTATTTTTTTATTTAGAAGTTCATGTAAATGGAGCCATACAATTAATTTTTGCATATGTCTTCTTTTATTTAACATCATTTTTTGAGATGCTTCGGGGCTGTTACACCAGTTTCTTTTTGATGTGGTGTATGGATATTCCATGATTTGTTTATCTAGTCTCCTGTTGAGGGATACCTGAGTTGTTCCTGGCTTTTAGCTATTAGAAATAAAGCTACTAGGGACCAGCAGATGGCATAATGGTTATGTCACTAGACTGCCATGTAGTTGACTGTGGTTCAAGTCCCAGATCTGTGGCTTAAAACTCATGCTGGGCACATGTGTGTGCATGCCCAAAATCCTGAGAGGAGAATGGAGGAGAAAGGGTTGCGGCATGGCCATCCCCCGGGGCATGATTTCTCACTTTCTATCTTTCTGTGTCTCTCCAGTGAGTGTATATGCCCTATACCAAAAATCTTTCTCAAAAAAAGAGAGAGAAAGCTACTATGTACATTCTTTTACAAATCTTTCTGTGGACATGTTTTTGTTTCTCTTGGGTAAATATCTAGGAGTGAAACTGCCAGGTAATAAAGTATGTGTTTTCCTTTGAGAGAAGTTACCAAACTTTAAAAAAAAAAAAAAAAATTTTACACTTCTACCAACTACCTGTGAAGTTCTAGTTGCTCCACATCTTCAACAACACTTGATAGAGTGAGTCTTTTTTGCATTTTAGCCATAATAGTGGGTGTGAAATCATAGCTCATAGTGGTTTTCTTTTGCGTTTCTTAATAAATAACATACTGAGTACCTTTTCACATGCTCATTAGCCAGAGAGCGAGCAAGCGACACCAATAGGGTCCTCAATACCAGCCTCGGCCAGCTTAGATCATAGACACACAAGCACCCACACACATGCTCCCCATGTGTACAGGGAGCTCTCCAAACCCAAACTGTGGACCTTCCCACGTGGATCCAATTGTATCATCACCGCACCATTTCTGGCCCCATCCACAGATTTTTTGCTAACTTAGTGTAC